CTGTTATAACCTAGAGACGCGAGCCCCGCAGAGCGGCTCAAACTGGATTGGTAGACTACGCACGTAGAAGAAAGGAGCTGCATAGAGTGAAAGCCAAGAGCCAGAGTATTCATTCTCTGAAGGTGGATAGAGCAGACAACTATCCGAAAAGTCAGATAAAATATAAACCTGAATGAATGAGAACGTTCGCGTTCCAGGTATTTGCATGGTTGAGGAAGAAGGAAGGTCTAGCCTCCCTCTTCCTCCCTTCTTCATCTCTCAAACCCTCCCCCCTCCTCTATGATGTTTGATTGGCTCCTTTCCCCTATAACTGTCGCTTGCTTTTCGTGGACGCTTCTATCTCTGAAGATGGACTCCCGCAAGAGCCCGAAAGCTCAGAATAATAAACAAATTGATCCGGTGCCCGACCTTCCTTCTTCCTCAACAGTATAAACATCTCCCGGTGGACGCCCTTTCTCCTTTTGACTTCAGACGTATTGCAAATTGATCAATTATACCCGCAGCAATATCATTAAACCGTGGTAAGGTCTGCATGTGAGCTTTGGGAAATATGTCAGCTGATTGAAGTCGATTAATTAACCCGAAGGATACTAATGCAAGCATCTGCTATTGCTACCAACTTGCATTCAAATTACCTTATAGACGTCAAATTTTCCAATTGTTTCGTCGAACGTAGAATACAGCCTATTCAGTAATTCAACGATTTGCAGGGGTGTGGACCAGGCTGAAATGGCTGTGAAGCCCACGATGTCACTGAAGTAGACGGTCACTTCATCGAAAGCTTCTGGGGCCACTTTGTTGCCGGCTATCAGCGCCTGTGCAACAGAGCTAATACAAGAAAAATAAAGACTAAATCAACCTTTGTTTAAGAAAATAGACGGAGATTCTGAGCTAACCTTTGAGCTCATGAAAAATTTCCGGATATCGAAGTGTAAAGACAATACACAGGCCTTCGTTTACTGTCAGAAGTACAGGATACTGACATAATTTAACAAATATGGGTACATTCACAAACTGCGATATATGTGCTCCATTTTGCTAGTTTATTCACCGTGTTTTCTGAGCACTAATTATGGAATTTTTCTATACCTGCTCTTTTGAAGTCTCTACAGTTACCAATGGGTCTGCTAACTTTAGGATTTAAAATCTTCTGATAGATTTTCTTAACTTTTATACGGATTACTCCTGAGTTGGAGAGCGGGGTAGGAATTTAATACTTTTCGAAAATTAATAGATAGCTCTAGGACAAGTAGCACATGTTTAAAGTAAAACACAACATTTTATTACGTATCCTACTTTTATACTTTAAAAATCGGTAACCATTCCAAGTATTATTGAAGCCTCGCTTATTCTAGTTGACGTTCAGATCTCTTCTAACCCTCACGCAGTCGCCGACAGTCAGAAGTTAAGACAAGTTACGGAACCATTTATACATGCGAACTGCTCAATATTTTCTTCTTTTAAACATAAATGAACCCGAACTGTTGAAAGAGGTCATTTCTAATGAACTCACAGTGGCAACATCTTTGCGATCAGTTCCTCTGTTTTCGACTTCTCTTGTTCGAGTTCCAGGGTCCGCTCTCTCACCTGGGATTCCAAGTCTTCTGAGTACTTTTCCATCAGCGTCAACATATGGTCAATAATGTTGGTCTTCCTGTAAGGAAGATGAGATCATCATACAATTGTAAGTTCTGAGCAAGGAAGCAAATTAGCAATGGACAGTTACTTCTTGGAGTTACAGTCTACGACAACTGGGAATCGGCGTTGCCAGCAAACGGTAATTTCATGCCATTTATTAGGCATCTTTTCGATCACCAAAACCTCCAGAATGAAAGTTGATCCAATTTTGTCGTTGTATTGCCTTCCTGACAGGTTCGAAGGCAGGCGCAATTAAAGTTGTGGCCTAAACATTTAAAAAACTTCATTCCACCTTGCAGGTTAAATCAAATCCCAATGTTCTATCGTATTATTATCCATCGAGGATTAAATTATTTTATACTTAGGATCCATTCGTTCCATTTTATTGCAAACCTTCTGAGCTTTGATCGTATGCGCAGTCCTGGTCCAAAAATCCGTTAACTTGGAGAAAATAGTAAAAAGTCGTATAGGGTTGCCGCTGTTGTGCAAATCCGTAAATGCTACAGTTTCAATCCTTAAAGTTGAACTCTCGATGCCAATAATGGAGATTTTTTAATTTTAGGAGGCGTTAAATATCCAAATGTTACACTCCTTTTGCCGATAGGAATAGATAGAGAGAGCGAAGTCATGCACTTGTGAACATCACCTAATTCAACTGACATTATGCCTAATTTAGTTCGTCCTAAAAACGGAGTTTTTCAATGCTTGACAATCAATATATACACCGTTTTATAGAATGGTCTGGCACCTTTAGACCTGAAAAGTTAGACTAATATGGACTGCAATGTAACCCCCAGGATTAAATTACCAAGGCTGAGCCAGGTTGGTTAGAAATTTTCAGTCAGTAAATACGGTTGAAGTCGCCTCGCTTGTACGAATAGTAACCGCCAAGCGTAGAAGGAGAACACTGGAACTCACTTTCCACTGTTGAACTGCTCTATCTGAGCAGCTATTTCATTGAACGTCGGACGCAGGTCTGAGTTTTCTGCCCAGGAAGATCGCATCAGATTCTTGTAGAAATAGGGGATTTCTGAGAGGTTCACCTTAAAGTCAAAACATTTTCTTTTTCGCCTCAGAGTAACACATGAGTAAAAGCATTCAAGGGGAGATGTCGCCGACAACACGGTCCCAGCACTCCAAATGCTTCTTGATCCCATAGGGATGGAAGACTTCCAAAGGTCGAAATGGTGGTTATTAGGATTTGTGGATAGTATTCTTTATAAATAAATTTCTTAGCTAATTGAAATTGCCATTTTAAACAATGACATCTAAATATATGTGAGTATAACATGATTCGAATTGATGAAATCGGATGCATTATACGTGCACTACCTTATCACTATCAGTTTATCGAGGGTAAGATAGGCGAACGCCTTTGAATTCCCAATTGTTAACAAGATGATAGGAAATAAATGGATACAAAGAAAAATTTAAAAATTACGTCAATTATATGCTCCGGGAAGACACTACAGTTGTTAGGTCGTCAAATAGTAACAAAATATGACAGAAAAATATGACTAATCGCAAATCACGAGTAGTATAATTTGACGCAGTATATGTGATGCAGTAGTTTTTTATTTCCGTATTAGGAGAGGATTAACTGGTTTTTCTACTCAAGTTGACCCAATTATGAAAAAAACTAGGCAACCTCAGTGGGTTTCGAACCCACGTCAGCATGGGACAGGCTTTAATACAGCCAATACTCTAGCCAGCGGAACTGTGGGCCCCCCAGTGGGAGCTCTGGTTTTAATCACAATTGGGTAGATTTACCGCCCAGCCTACTACAACGTATGGAATGCACCAATTCTAACACAATTACCTGACTGCCAAAACATGATTTCATAAGCCATCAGTCTAGAATGCACCAGCTGACTACCAGGCAAACTTACTTATTAGGAAGAGTTTGACAGCTTTCAATAATTAATTTGACCCAGGTGTGAAGGTCAGGCGAGTAAATTGACCCAAGTGTGAGGAAACTCACGGCTGTCGGTGGAACTTCAATAGCTCAGTTGGCTAGAACATTGGCTGTACTAAAGTCCCCCCTTGCTGGAGTGGATTAGAATCCCAACGAGTGTACACTGCTTTTCGCAATAAGGCCAAACGAAAAGCCTAAATGATCAAGATGAAGGGGAACAGGTATACCACACACAAACAGTCCTGTGATCATTTAATTGCTCCCTCGACAGCATGTCCGTTCATGTGCACACAATTGGAAACGTACCTCCGGTCTGAAAGGTGGATCACCTGCCTGCACTTTTTCAACAATTTCCTCTGCCGATAGCTCACAATCGGGGAAGGGTTCAGAGCAGCAAATAATCTCCTGAAGAATTATGCCGAAAGAGTAGACATCCCCCTTCTGAGTCCCGATAGTCCTTCTCATGGGTTCACGCAGCAGTTCGGGGGCAGTCCATAACAGATCTTGATACAACAGAGCAGCGTTTGTAACGCGAAATTTAGGAGCAAGATGTCAAAACAGTCTTTAAACAGCCATAAACGATATTGTGCGCCACGAATGAACGAAGTCGTGAATGTTTTAGTTTGCTCTAGGACTACAGTCTCCATAAATCTTTTTTTGCTTACGGTGGACAAATAAAATGTCATTTTGCGATTTCAAACGTGAAATAAGGTGGTCGTAAGATCAGCAGATCTCGTACTGTGACTATGATGCTGCTACGAAGAAAAAGAATGATCATGCTATGATAGTATGTCCCTCTTGAAACCAGACGCATCCGTTTATTACTCCAATTTATCACAAACTTACCTACAGATTCTTATAACTCAACGATGAACCCTACCGTACAGGAGTTTGAGACTTGACTAATCACCGATAAGTCAGAAATGGTTAATTCAGTGTATGTGTCACTGTCCGTAAAAAACGACTTCAACAGATGGATAGTTCAATCGTCGTTACCGACGAGGGCCAGTATTAAACGCACAGCATGGTAGGCGAAGCACCTGAGACACGCGCATGAATTAGTTTTGTATGGCATCCACCGCACTGAGTCGTCCTTGTCATGTCAGAGTAAAAATGACCGGAGAAGGATTGAATGCATTTTTTGAAAAAGCTTCCCAGCCTGTCTATGTGTGCCACGCACATCTACTTAGCGCGCAGTTGACCAGGTTTTCATACAAGTGAGCCAAGGGCAGCTTGGCTTTCAGTTGATTGAGAGTGTCATAGGGGCCACACTAAGGAAAAGCTATGGCTGCTGGATTCTCAGTTCTGTGAGGACGAACGATTTATGCCGGCAATTTGGAGTCTTTTAAGCTACGACTCTTATCGCGCCTGAGGGTTTAAAAGCACGTGAAGTTGTTTGTAGTGAGGGATATGCGCTAAATGCCGGAGCAGGAAGTCCCCAGCGTCTCTCAGGCACCGGCTTACTACCTAAGTTCGGTAACGTGCAGGTGATTGGAGAAATTCTTTTTTAAAATTGTGAATCCCATTTAACAAGGGTCATGACCTAATCTAACTCTCACTTACATTCGACAGATCTATCGCGCGGCCATTTGTAAGGACACTGTATACGTATGTGCAGAAGAAGATTACTGACAAAGATACGAGGCGACTGTGATGGCGGTTTCTGGTTTACTGGTAGCCGTCAGTCAACCCTGCCTAAGCACGGAGGGTTTAACGACCGCGATGCGTGCCTTCGGATGCAGAAGGCCTATTTCAAATTTATCTAGTCAACACCTCGAAGATGAAGTATACCTGTGTGTCCCCCTTTGTATAGATATTCGCAGAAGGGACTACAAAAACGATAGTATGAATTCATCAAGTTGAGCTACGTCGGTGCCTCGTCAACAGACACCCTCTGTTCCTATTCCTGCATGGATGGACGTATGCCGGTCCGTTGATTTTCTTAAGCAAGGAAGGTGTCAGTGAATTACAGGAGTCCAGAAATCACAGTCACCTATGAGGTCAAACTCATCTAAAAGAGGATAGCTGGAGCCTATCGACAAGAAGGTGAATTGTATGGCCATCTAAACAGGACACAGGAATAACAATAGCCTTGAAATTATTTCCACGGGGGGTTAAATATTTCCGTGTCTTAACCATAACGTAAACATAAATTGTAACCTTAATCTCAACCCTAGACCTAAACCCTACAGTTTAAATGAATCCAAACGCTAAACGCTAGCATAACCTTAACATTCGCCCTAATCCTTAACCCATTTTCCCGGAATTTGAGTCACAGCAACATGTATTATGCGCGGTTCCTGCGCCCGTGTCCTGTTTAGACGGCCATACAAGTCATCCTTACCGACATGGGTTCTGTTAAATAGCTTCCACGTTGTTTTGCACTTATCATATCCTCATATGGCCACCAATAATTCTACAAATTATACGAAATCTGCGTGCTCGTCCCGTGTGCGTGCACATACACGCATACATGATGGTCAGAGTTATGATTAGCAGAAGGGATTTTGAATAATCCTGAAAAGTCTCTTAACGTATGTAGGCCTATTTCCAATCGTAACACACTCTGATATCGAAATGTGTACACGTGTGTTCTTTAACTTTTGTAGCAGACACTGCAACTTGAGAAGAAGAAGATGCGATCGCTAGAGCAGGGCTTTTATTCGCCTGACCTGTCGAAATCCGTCATGGATCCCTCATCAGAGAGATTAGCATAAATAGTAACAGGCTTATTCGACGAGACTCAGCAACACATTCAAATTTTATGAGGCCAAAATTCTCGCGATAGGTGACAATCGTGTGAGCCGCGAGTAACCTGAGTCATGGTTCACGGGCCCCAGACCTGAAATAAGGTGGTCGTAAGATCAGCAGATTTCGTACTGTGACTATGATGCTGCTACGAAGAAAAAGAATGATCATGCTATGATAGTATGTCCCTCTTGAAACCAGACGCCAAATCCATATTCGGTGCTGAGGCTCAATTTTGCCAAAACAAGTCGCCGCGTGGGAACACACAGGCCAACGCCTCATTCAATGCCAACGCCGAGGAACCAGATGACCGAGCAATCATCACGTCTAATTGCACAACGTGTGATAAAAATTCAGCAGGTCACGGCCCGCACGCGGGTCATCAAGCAATTAGAAGTGCACAAGCGAGCAATTATCTTCGATATGGGGGCCTTTAATTGCCAAAAGTCTGCAGTATCATAGTGACTATCTAGTCTCAGCAATCCCATCTTCTTCTTTTTCTTCTCCTTCTTCTTATTCTCAATTACTTCCTGGGATTCGCATGTTTACCTGTATTGGCAAATGGTAGTTGAGTTGAGAAGCTGCAAACTTTTTAGAGGTATTTTACTAATTTTTTCCATTAATTAATATTTGTCCTCTAGAAATGTACACGCACACCAGGGTAGCTAAGGGGAGAGTAGACCAATTGGAGCGTTGCATGGTTTTCGGCCAAAATGAGGAGCATTTGTGCATTTTAATAGCTTTGCTGATCTTCAATACTTCGGGAAGAATATAAATCTTACCTTCTGGCTCTGCCTTTTGGCATATTCCATAGAGAGCATTGACGCTGCAAATGCCGTAGTCGGTAATTTTAAGGACCCAACGTCCATCGACGACGCAGTTTGTAGATTTCAGTCGTCCGTGCGTTTTAACGACAGACTTGTGAATGTAGGTCATGCCCTAGGTAAAAATATTGGGACAGATGATTTAAAATATCATCCAGGAGAATATTATACGGCTTCCTGGAGAAAATAGAATCAGATGGATGGACAAAAGTGGCTAGGAGAGCCATATTGACCGACTAGGGAGCCGCGCAAAGTAATTGTACATATTAGCATCTCGCTACTTGCCCATGACTGCTGCACATATCATACTTGCTAATGGCATGTAAACAGACTGTTTCGTTAAAAAAAGGACGTGTTAGCATTTGCAGAACTACTTGTTGACTGCAATCCATTTTAGAATACGAGAACGACACAGCCAACTGACCACTGCCGCTAGATGGGCTCAGACTGTGTACCCCTGCATGTACACTGAGCATTTTACTGCTTAGCTGTGGACGATACTTCTAATGCCCATACAAATAATGAACATCATATCTGAATATTTGAGCGAATATAAGTAACGTCCAAACTGACCTTTACCAAATCCTTGATAAGGGAGTCCTTGAATTCGACATCCAGAACAACTCTTTTCGTTTCCAGGATATCCTTATAAAAACAAAAATGAATACCGTAATGTTAGGACTCGAGAACACTTTTTCAACTGTGGGAAAAAGACGACTTCCAGTTCTGACTAAACCTAAACATACTTGGAATAACAATAATACTCTGACGGCACCGATGAATATTTGTCATCATATGTCATTGTTTGTTACTGCATGTCATCTTTATGGGGCAAATATTTTCAGGAACAAAGTGTAAGAAGTACTGCAGTAAATTGTTGGAAGTCCTGCTTATATTTCCATGTTTAAAACCTAAAGTCTGTTAAGCAAACACATGCTTTCAGCAATTCATCATCGGGCCTATATGACTGCACTGATAATGAAAACAGTAAAGTTGGACAGGGTTAAAGGTCATCGTTTTCACACAGCCCGCATGAAGAGGTCGCCATGTGAAGGTCATTATACTAGGGAAGTGAAGAATTTGGATAGGCTATGAGTAATGGTCACAGGTCGGGTAAGCGGAGTGAAAAGAACTGTCACGTGCACGGGGTGAATAAACGTCACTTGGGGGGGGG